CGCCTCCATAGTGATCACTAGTGGCCGTGACTGAGGGTATTCTGCTGTAACCCGGTTAGGTTAATGTTACCATAATACTACAGTACTTACACTGCAAACTTCGAGAACCAGTAACAAAGTCGCCAACGGAGAGGTTATGCTTTGTCAACACAGCTTTCGCTACCACAATTTATATTCCCTGTAAAAGTAACATCAATTATAACACTATCGAATCATTATGAGATAAAAATTTATAATTTACTAAGACTTACAAAAGAAAGCGGCCCCTTTTAATGATTTGTATTTTCAATCGTGGACCAAAAGTAGAGTATAACCTTGGCTCCAATTAAGGAATAATGATTCAACTTTTCCATTGTTCTCATTCAGTCCGTTTCAGGATCATCGTTTACGTAGAAATAATTTCTTCTCTGCAATTATACGTAGAGCTTGTACACTTCTTTTAGTGACGTAGAAAGCTCAACTACTGCTTGGAAAAAATATAACGATTGGCCTTGTGTCATCTGTTCCAATATGCAAATCATTTGATTTGACACGACCAATGTGATCTTTCTTACAGTCTGTGAAAGGGACAAAACGAACTGCCAAATTGGAGTAATAGGCATTGTGACACCTGTGGCTTTAGGTTTGTTTAAATCCATTTGAGCTAGACTGCTTTTCTTTCAAATTGATCTGTCATTTTATGACACACAACAACCCTGCAAGCACCAGGTCGCTAGCTCAATTCGTTCTCGAGTTATCGTGCGCTTAAACAGACACACGCGAAAACACACAGTCAGACGCGAAACTTTTTGATCATCACTGGAGTATTAGGCTTCGCTAATTGCTCAGCCAATACAGTTGTCCTTCCGTCATCCGTAGATTTACCAAAATTCAAGCCAAGGTCGTCTTCTCGTCGTCCATTCCAAAATCCAAATCGTAAACAATGATCGTTGCCAATGTCGTCTTTTCGTCGTCCGTTCCGAAATCCAAATCAAAATCAATGTTCAGTAACAATCTCGTTGATGCGTCATCCTTTTCAAAATCCAAATCACATTCAATGATCGTCGCCAATGTCGTCTTTTCAAAATCCAAATCCATAACAATGTTCAGTGACAATGTCGTTGAGTCGTCATCCGTTTCAAAATCCAAATCAATATCCAAAAACGACGCCAATGTCATTTCCATAATATCCAAAGGTGAAATTAACACCACTTCTAACCAGAATTTCTTTAGTACGGTGGAAGGTAGCCGGCAGCTCTTAACACTTCATTATAAACTACATTTTGTGAAAAATGTTCGGATTTTGTCTTTCCATTGACTGTTATGTCTCTTTTTCCTTGACTAAGACCATCTTCCACTAAAATTTTTAATGCCGATCGAGATTTGACTCGGCTTGCAGAGACATAAAACTGGCCATGAGACCAAAGTGCCGTTCTTAGGTACAGCCCTGCTCTAATGAGGGTCTGCCCTTGACTCTTGTTAACTGTGATAGCATAACAAAGCCTAATTGGAAACTGTCGCCGACGAAGTTTTCCAGGAAGGGTGAAATCATTAGTGCAGAACGACACTCTAAAAATACAGGTTAACTCACCTTTCTGAGAACCATTCATTATTTCACAGATTATGCAGTTTGGATAAAGTTTAACAACTTTCAGCCGTGTGCCATTACAAAGGCCACCACTGACTCTCAAATTTCTAATAAGCATAACAATAGCTCCAGGAACTAAATGAAGTTTATGTGGCGGAATAGATGCAGACTCAAGGCAGTTAAGGTACTCTGTAGGATACCTCAGATTAACATCTTCATCCTGAAGCCCCTTGTGCTTTATAAGCGAAGTGGTAGAAAAGTATGTTCGATCATCTGTTCTTCCTTTAAGCAGACGATCCATAACTAAGTTGTTTACAAATGTGGCGGAAGCATTTGTAGGGCAAAGAATAGCTGCATCATAAGCATCTGGCTTATCAATGTTTTTACCAAAACAATGATTTATAACTTTGTCGATGCCATTAACAACCATATCAGAATCTAATTTGATTTCTGTGGTTCCGGGCTTATTAGCACTGCCATCGCCAACTTTAAGAAGCCAATCAGCAAACTCAGGATCTTCAAGTGCTCTCAAATTTTGGGTTAATTCATACCTCTTGAAAAGAGACCATAAATTAGATGATGGAATTGCTGCATCAACAATGTCAACCCGACTGCCACCGGGAACAAAATTTGACGAAAATCACCGCCCAGCACTATGTTTTTACCACCAAACAGCTCAGAGCTCTCCATGCAGTCACGCCAAAAGTTGTCCACAACATGCAAATGCCATGCATGGACCATTGAGACTTCGTCCCAAATAATGAGGTCAGCACTTCTGAGCTTCTGTGCTTCTAGACTCTGAAGCTTAAGTGTACTTCTAGAAAGTCCAAGACCCTCATCCTCAAACGGCAAACCAGAAGCCTTATGGCTTGTCAAACCATTTCGTAGGAGATTAGCTGCCACACCAGTGTAAGCAGTAACCACTACGCTCTTGCCAAGTGCTTGCATGTAATCAATTAAAACATTATACGTAAATGTTTTGCCAGTTCCACCAGGACCAGTAAGGAAAAAACACTGTTCTTCACTACCATTGCAAACAGAATTGACAACAGCATCAAAAAACAAACGTTGTTCAACGTTTAACTTCTGAATCAACTCGGTTGCCACCTCGAGAGAAACAGCAAGTGGAGATACTGAGACGTCATTAAAACGTTCAAGGACAATGTGACTTAATGGAGGCAGATGATAATCTTCAAGAGATTTTCCGAACTCCCTCAATATCTCAGAAATGTCTCTGAGACATAATTGAAAGGCAAGCTCTTCATCATCTTCAATCTCGCTAAGGAAATCTGACGCAAGATCTTCTTTGAATCTGAGCCAAAGACCACCTGGATCCACAGGATTGCCATTACACAACATTACAGCAAATGAAGCACGCAATGTTTTAGGAAACTGCTCACGAACAGCTTCTTCCATATAAAGGATTAATTCATCCTCATTTTCAATCAAATTAAGAGCGGCACATGCTGACTTGTATGTTGGATGAACAATGCCATCAACAGTCTTCAAGGCCACAAAACTTGTAACATCACTTCGATTACACAACAATAAACGAATGTGATACAATTCAGAGTTCAAGGGACTGCAAGCAAGAGGCGGAAGACGGCCAATAGTATGCCGCTGACTTGGCTTCCAAGAATTATCTTTATAAAGATAATTTTCAACGACATCTGTGTACAATTTGCCACGATGAGGACCATTACGAAGATTAAGGTCGAACCATGCAGTAAGCTTTGTGCCAACATGCCTTTCGACAGCCGCTTCTTCGCCACCTTCAACGTGAATGATAACTTCCTTGAATTCTTCATGAACTGGAAGAACCTCAACAGGTGGATAAATATGGGCCTGAGAATTTCCCATTATGTAATAGTGGGCCTCATATGGACCCATGTTTCTCATCTCCTTGAACTCTTGAACTTCATCATGGACATAGGGATCACCAGGTGGTCTTTCTTCATTTTGCTTCACAATGGAAACTTGAACTTTATTTCCATAGCTGCCTTTTAAAAGGTAGCCATAAAAATACTTACATCCAGAGCATGAAGGACTGTAAATGATGTTGACATGACCAACATACCGAAGCAAAACGAAAGGATTGTGAGGTACTACCCAGCGGTTGTCGATAAACATAAGGACTCCATTAACCCTCTTGAAAAAACCACGTCCATCATTAGGACGACGATATAATGGCCTTTTGCCAGATATATCAGTTTCATCTCGAAAATCAAATGGAAATCCATGCTTGCACTTTCCTGTTTTTTTGTGGCAAGGTGAATTTGAATCACAGGGTCCGTGGACCATGAACTTGCGAACCAAATCAAACAGCTGGGGATCCTTCCTCTCATCAGGAAAATGTGCACAGATAATCTTATCGATATCGGCACTGCAGTTGGGTGCATCTTCAGGTTTCATGATGTACAACCCATGAGTATGAGTTAGACCACGCCCTTGGAATTCACGGACGGTCATCTCTCCAGCTACTCTCCCAAAAATCTGCTCACGAACTATGTCAGAGAACAGTTGAGTGGCACGCATCTCAAAAGCTCTATTGACGATGTCATACCTGTAGTTAGGATCAGTGCCACTACGGCTACATTCTCTTATAATCTCAGGCCATTTCGTGTTGCAAGTCAATGTTACCATCCACGATGGATGTCCCAATTTTTGGGAAACAGCAAGAGCGTCATAAAACTGATTTTTCATATGACGCGGTGATCCGTAAATACCAGGTGGCAAAATGACTATCCTGCCAATTCTTCTCCCCTGTTCTAACGCCCTTGCTGCCACAAATTGACGAAGAGTGTTATAACACTCAGCTTTGAGAGTTTCCTGATGAGAGGCTCTATACGACAACCATTCATAGAGGACTTTTAAGGCACCATTTATAAGGTACATGGCAAAAAGCTTCTTGGCCTCATGAAGAACATTAAAATCAGCATCACGGACTGCAATACGATACCGATAATACTCAGCAAGAGAAGGAGTGCGATTAGCACGCTCCTCAGCCATATCAAGATGGGCAGTTTCACCATGCAAATGAAGCAAGGGAAATTGCTGAATGTCTAAGGTTCTTCGCGAAGGTCCAACGGTACCAGGGCCGTGCTCACCCGCTTCCTGGGGTCTTGGGAAATACTTGGCATCGTACGACATTGGACGCAATAGACCAGTAAAAACTGCGCCTACACCATCAGCAACTGGCGTAATAGTATACTGAGTACCTCTCAGTAAACGATCAACGTAATCGTCCCCAACACGGACGACACGTGTTGCAGGATCTTTAGGATTGATGACTAATACTACGTCACGGAACGGACGATTTTCAGCCAGTGCTCTTTGGCGTTCCTCCAATTCAATTTCCTTCGTGGTCTTAAAAGCCTTTACAAAGCAGTTGTTCTGGCGAAGGTACAATTCTACACGTTGTAAAATGTCATCAGACAAATCAGCGTTATGCTGCAGACCTTGTCGGCGCTTTTCAAGAATTGTAGAGAAGTTGTCCTCCGAAAAATCCATAAAATAAATTTGACCATGGTTGGGTGGCCTTGTCTGATCACCATCATCTTGGTAAGAATGGTTGTGCCATTTCACTTCTCCATTTACTTTTAAACTCCATAGACCATGCTGCCGGCTTCCGACATTCTGAAAGTCACCGCTAACAAAACTTGTAGCAAACAACTTATTATACTTCAGAATGTTTGATTGAAAATTCTTGGCAAGTGGAGATTGTCCACGAAACAATTCAACAATATCATCTGATGGAGTTTTAAAACTTGAAGCCTCAGGAAGCAAAAACTTTCCATAGGTGCAACACTTCAAGCCAGCATCATTGCGAGTCCTCGACAATTCTGCCTTCCAATACTTTGCATCGCAATGTGGACAACAAACGTCACACAACTCAAAATCCAGAGGTACAACTTTGCTGAGGTCTTCATCCCCAAACAAAGCACCAACCATGTACGTCTGCCTTTTATTAGGAAGTCTGCTGGTGAGTGGTTTCTTCTGAAAAGTTGAATGTAATTTGTCGACATTCCAAGGACGACCAGCTGGACGACTCAAATTCGGACGGTTTCCAGTAGAAGGTGCTCTTTCACCAGGATCATCGACATCACTGTCAATGGGTTCAATCAAATTCTCAACCCACTCTTCATCAACTAAATCGTCTCCAGACGAATTAAAATCAAAACTGTCTTCATCAGAAGAACTTGACTCGGTACTAATCTCATCGTCCGAAAGATGAAAATTAAACTCAAATTCACTTTCTTCAGAATCAGAAATAAGGGAATCATTAACAAATCCAGAATCTGAATTACCAGTAACATTTTCCACTTCCAAAAAAAAGCTATCAAACTGTTCTACGAACATTGAAGGCACTTCAGAAAACAATTGAAAATGAGCAGCCTGAGTCAAGTGGTTTGAAGCTCGAATAGCAAACTTCAAAACATTAGTCGAATTTCCAAAAAAATTCATTGCTTCTGGAGCTGGAGACAATGGTGTCTTTTCACCATTTCCGACATTAATAACTGCTATGTTAACTTTAAACAGCTTACTGGACACACCGATTTCAACATCGGTTGCGTATTCCCAGCACCTATTCGGCTGTCTTGTCAGATTCTTCGTTTTGTAATCTTGAGCATTATTATAGATGCACTTTCCATTAAAAACGAAAAAGCATTTGTGCGATTCCCAATTGAGAAAAATTTCTTCTATGATGGCTTCCTTCACTGCCAACATATCGTTTTGAAGGTAAAGAGCCAAACATCTATAGAAGCACAATCCATCTCCACGAACATCAATATAGTGAGTGTTTGTTAACTCGCAGTACTTGGCTCCAGTTGAACATTCTGTGCAAGACAATGGTGTGTGCAATTTCGATGGGAGCTCCATGGTCCTCTAAAAAAAATTACGACATTGCAGTTTAAGCGGAACCCGTTATTACTACAAAATAAAGAAAACGGAATTTTTACTTACCGAAATGCAAATAAGACTCCTTAACGCACTAAAAAAATTAATGCACCTTGTGAAAACAAAAATAAAAGCATTAAAACAAAAGAAAGATAGAATACATAAATACAACAGATTTTAAAAACAAACTCGCAATAAAATATTCCAAGGGTATTGCTACATTAGATAATTACTATTTTATCCTACGCAACAACTTACTTCAGGGTAACTTTCAACTTGATGTTGGTTGGAGACAGTAGAAATCTGACAAAAAACTACAGTACTATTTTATCCGGAGATAAAATAAATAATTTATCCGGAGACAAAATAAATAGGAAAGATCCCAACAAAAACTAAATTTCAATCTGCAACAGTCCAAAATGAAGAATATTTGCATTGTATAAAAAGCACGTACATACTGCTAAATAGAAAAACGGCGAAAACACTCACCGAAATACAATTGAGGCTTATAAACAAAATACTATGTCAATGAATCTGATCAAAGTA